GTTATTGCATCCCTCTCATTATCGATACTGGTTGGGAGATATTATTGATTTGTTTTTTCTTTTGCTTTAGAATAAAGCAACCAAATCCATTTAAAATTGTTCCTATAAACCAAGATCATTTCCAGTACATTAAAAAGTGTTTTAAAGAAAACATGCCAACTGCTGGTAGCTAAAAACATCTACTGTAAAGCCTGAAAATCGTAATAATTGGTGGGACATATGAGACCTATAAGTTATGTTTACATGCAAACAAAAAAAACTTCTTTAAGACTTCAAGAAACATTACCATAACGTAATACATAGGGATCAAAACGATTCAAACTCGGGCGAGAGGGTTTTCATAACGTTATGTGGATATCACATTCAATATATTTTTCAAATGTTCCATTACCTTCAACAATTGATTTTTTGCCCAGGTTAAGAAGGTATTTATTGGCTCATCAGGAAAAATCCAAAGCTCGAATGAAGATAGTCCTTTATTAGATACCATATAGAAAGGGAAGACTAAAATTCCCCCCAATACTGTGTATTAGTGGCCACACATTTAAGGTTAATAAAATATTTATATTTTGAAACCAATAATGCGTCCACAGTGGAGAGGGTGAAGATTGTGAGATCTGAAGGATGAATCTACGCATTACCGGACGCTTATATTATACAGAAAGTTGACTAAATGCTGCTTAAAAAAGTAACAACCCAAACATTAATAACCCCATGATAAATCCTGTTTTAAATGTACACAAACACGTAAAAAGAGGAGGAGCGTATGTAACCTGGCTCTATATACGTCGATTTGGGCAAATCAATGTTTGTTCCCGGAGGACAGAAGCCTGTCTTTCAGCAGCTGGCTTAAAAGGGTTTAAAAGATACACCTTTAATAAACCAAACCTAGATACTGTAATGAAGTAAGTGTGGCCCAGTATTATAGATATAGAATAGTGCTTTTTAGTAAAACAAAGGTTAAACAATAATAAATCAACATCTCTTCTAATTCATTAATGAGAATCTAAAAATTCAATTATCACAAGCTATAACTTTTAAGTAATTGATCCACTATATACATATGTATCAAAAATAAGCGTACGATAAATATCTTATCTTTACTAAAAATACATAGTATTTTAAAATATTCTTCAGCTTAGAGAGCTTCAACAGATCTAATCAAGATAGTTTAACTAAACCTCAGAAAAAGTAAAATAGTTTGAGCAAATATCTGAATTCAACTGACAAATCTGATTTAAGATTGAAGGCTTGGAATGAGGAATAAGAAACAACTAAAGTAAAAGAGGATTGGGACATCAAGCAAAAGCACATAAAATGCAACAGTCCTCCTACAATCCAATTGGCTCAAGAAACGGAATGAGGACAACAGAAAAATGGCATAGTTATAAATGGCGAATGGAACCTTATGTAGTGAACAAGGAGCTAAAAGGATAAATGAACTGATGTACTAGTACTAGGTGGTAATATAAAAGTAAATGTAACTGATGTATGAACTATGTGATAAATGTACCATTAAAGTATGGCAGGTTTTAAAAAGAGTAAAATGTACTGATGTAGCACTAGGGTGTTTAAAAAGAGTAAATGTACTGATGATGAACTAGTGTGGTAAAAAAAGAACTGTAACTGATGTATGAACATAGGTGTTAATATGAACCTGATTATGATAACTAGTGTGTTTAAAAGGAGTAAATGTACCTGAATGTATGTACTAGAAGTAGCTAAAGGGAACATTGAGTTCCACTGTGTTGGGTATGTGCCTTGAGGTTAAAGGAGCAGTAGAGACCAATATCTCTAGGATAACGACTTTTTAATTTAGGAAACAATCGTTTACAAAGAATGAAAAAAAAAAGTACTGATAAGATAATGTGGTCTTATACAAGCAAAGAGAACAATTGCAATATAGTGTGGAAAAAAAGTCAAGCTGGTGCATAGGGTAAAAAAAAAAATGGTATTTCCCCTTGAAAGATTAAACCCTTGTTTTTAGAAAGGAAGCACCTTAGCAATATATGGGAAACAAATGTGGGATCAGTACAAAGACATTGTTAGAAAATCGTAAATGGTAACAAATGACGCTGAGGACTATTAATAAGATGACTGAGGATCCTATACTCCATGATATGTTATTCAATAATAGTGTTTCAATATCTGTGGCACTGTGGTGGAAAGTAGTCACTTCAATAACTTTGTGAGGTCTTATTTATTGTATCAGTTATTTTTTATATAATTTCGTATGTGGGGTGCCTTGTGTGTACCTTTGATATGCTTTTGGTCTTACTATTTTCATTAGTGATACACTAAATGTAGGAACGAGCTACTAGGACGAAATTTTAAAATAATTTCCATGAGGTAACAACAAAATCAAACATGAGTACACAATAAAATTTGTACAAGAGGCAGAAATAGTCCAATAAATAAATAAAAATCAAATGAATATTTTAGGATACATTACTCGTGTAGTAGGACTCGAAAGAAAAAGAAAATTTCCAGAAAGCCAGCATCTAGCAGTGAAATACATAGGTAAGGATCCTGTGGAACAGGTATTTTTCTATCCCAATAAGAAAAAAGACAAAGTATGAAAAATTGTGGAATAACATTTGTAAACAACGACTCTTTCTCAGACATGAGATGTCAGTCAGTAATTGAACCTTTTCCATACCTTTTGGTCAACATGTCACTAAAGACCGGAACCTTTTCCAGAAAATGAAAACAACTAAAATCTAATACCTCTTTACAGAAACCAAACCCAACTTCTTCAAAATCTAGACGACCTAAGTCGTTGTTAACCACAGTTATCCAAAACTTTGAAAAAGTATTGCACTTTGAGGTAGGAAAGCTTTTGTACAGAAATTAAATAAACTAATTCAAATAGATAGGTTTTTTAGGAAAAAACACTCAACTCAGTGGCTAAAATAATTGGAACTGACAGAGAAAATATGAAGATAAATAAGTTGTAAAGTAACTTACTGAGACCTAAAAAAAGGCTTTTGATTGTCATTAACCACGGTCCTGAAAATGGAATCATAGCTTTGCTTTCATCATACTGGGAGCTCTCTAGTTATCTAGAAAATCTTAAACAGTTTGTGCAGATAAATTGTAAAAAATAATAAATAACTCAATACCAATATTGTTTGTATGAGTGTGACTTTCCGCCAAAAGTATCAACCATTGTGGTGTCCTCCCGATAACGTGACCATTTGAAGCTGGAGCCGAAACTTGTAGACAAGGTATACTTTTCCTTGTTTCTTAGAGAATCATCCTCCGCGTATGTTAATTGCACTTCCTTTAAATACAAAATACCAACATCACCGAAACTGAAACACACAGAAAAAACTATCGACGGCTATACACACGGCAAATTGCGTACAGCGCTTGCTACCAAATATAGCCCAAATCGTAACACGGTATTGCTGTAGAATAAATGGACACTTAGTTGGGAGGGTCCTATTTACAAATATGGGTTGTAACTCCTCAGGTAGAGAAGAGTCGACGAAACACATGAATAATACTGTACAAAGCCGAAAGTTGCCTAGGTCAACACATAACAAAGATTTTTACAAAAAAAAAAAGACAAACCAAACCAGAGCGCTTACTCTGCTACGTCCAGAAACTGCTGTTTTGTAGAGAAGCATGTCTTACTTTGTTTTCCCCTTCATATTTAGCCACCAACAAACAGAATATATCATAAAATCACACTGGGTGAAGAAGGCGCTGCGGGGCCCAAAACACGTGGCCCCTCTCTGTTAAAGAGGACTTTTATCAGAGTGGCCTCGGATTTCACCCCTGTCTTCATTTCCCATGGAAAAAGGGAATCTTCATTGTTGATTTTACATGTAAACTTATTACATAGCAATTTTAAGAACGTGTTTGCATTTTTAAACTTATAAATGATTTAATTATGACTTTTAAAAATTGTAAACAGAACCACTATATTACAAATAATCTTATTGCTGTTGTCCCCCACAGCATTAATATTGTTGTGGAAAATGTGTGGAGAGTATCCAAAGTAATCAACAAAGAACTTTACATAAATAAAAAACCTTTTGGTAAGCAAATACTTTGCTCCTAAACAAAGAAAAACGATTACATGATATTCAATGTCTAAATGAAAAAAATATTAAATAGTGACGATAAGACAAGACAGCCAAAAACACATGGAGTTTTACACTTTCCGAAACCACTCAGCATTAACTGCGACCTTAGATAATACAATATTAATACCGGACCGTCACATCAGTTGTCAACAATTTGGGGAGACACCGTTATAAAAACACATACACTACCTATATTTATTTTACATAAAAAGACCAGAAGGAAAAATATCGAGATTCATCACATACCTGTTTGTGAGATGCTTTGGTGTTAAAATTGATATGGTTATAGGGCTTATACTATGATATCATAACATTGTATAAGGAAATTGCAACACATAAGCAAAAACAATCTAACGAAAACACCGGCTACAGCATGTAAGCTAGACCTATAGATACCAGAGGAATAAAAACCGACCAACAACTATGTTGATATCAACACATTGGAGTACAACCTTAACCAAGCCAAATAGTATAAAAAAATGACCATAAGTGGAAAAAAATATCGAGATTCATCAAATCCAGTTTTTGAGTTGTTGTAGGATGAGTAAAATTATATGTATTATAGTGGATTATACTAAAATCCTACATTGTATAAGAAAATTTGCAAAACATTAAGCAGAAAACAATCTACGAGAATGCATTGGGAAGAAAACGACAAAGTCCGATACAATCTGTAACTGATATCTATAATAAAAACTAGATGTCAGAACAAAAAGTCCTGGAATAATGGTCTCTGGAAGGAAAAACTTAACAAAGACATTAAAGAGTCAAAATAAAAATCATGGTGTTTTTAAGAAACAACAAAACTACTATACTCGACTAAAATATGAGGATGTAACATACTAAGAAAATCTGGATTTTAATATTAATTGGTTTTGTGTTTTGGTAAAATGTTGTACATAATGTTTAAATTACTGGTTTGTGATTTATGGGGGGGGAAGTGGGGGGGGAGAGGGGGAGAGGGGAGGGAGGAGAGGGGTAAGAAGGCGAAGGGGGGTAAAGAGGAGGGGGGGGTGGGAGAGGGTGGGGTGGGAGGAGGGGGGGAGAGTGAAGGGGGGGAGAGGAGGGAGGGAAGGGAGGGAGAGGGGGAGGGTAGGGGGGGATGGAAGGGGGGGGGAGGAAGAGGAAGAGAAGAAGGGGTGGAGGAGGGAAGAGGGGAGAGGAGGAAGGATGAGGGAGGTAGGGGAGAGGAGTGGAGGAGGGGGGAGGGTAGATAAAAGGGGGAGGGGGGGAGAGGAGAATTGCTGTGTGATCAACACAGTGGCGTGCGAGTGGTGGGGGAGGGAGGAGAGAGTGGGAGGGTAGTAGGAGAGAGAGGGGGAAAGAGGAGAAGGGAGGAGGGGGGGAGAGGAAGGGGAGAGGAGAGGATGAAGAAGAGAGAGAGAGAGTGGAAGGAAGGGGAGTTTGGGAGAGGGAAAAGTGAAGGATAGGAGAGAGTATGAGAGAGGAAGAGAAGGCGGTCATGTTGCTTGCGTCACTTGTGTACGGCTCGTGTGTTTGCTTTGTTTGTTTCTCAGTCCCTTCCTGCCAGCTTGTTTTCCGCTGTTCATCTGCTTTCGCGCGTAGGTGTTTCGTGGTTGTGTGCCTTCTGTTTTCTGTTTTCGTGCTACTTTTGTGTTCTTTTCTTCCCCATCTTTACTCTCCTCTGTGCCGCCGCGGCCCTCCCGGCTTTCTGCTGTTCTTTCGTAAACGTCTCTCTTGCTTTCTTTCGTTGTTCTTTCCTTCTATGTCTTCCGATTACGGTTTTGCTCTTGTCTTGGCTTCTTTTTTGTTTGCCTTTCTGTGACTGTTTCGTTGCTTTACTTCTGTTCTGTTCTCCTGTTTCTGATGTCTCGGTTCGGTGTCTTCTGTGTGCGCTCGGTCGACTGCTCATCTGTCGCTTCCTTTCTCTTTTCTCTTTTGGTGCTGTTTCTTTGTGTATGGTCTATTTTTTGCTCCTTTCCTTCGCGGTGCGTCTTTTTTCTATGGTTATGTCTGGCTCTGCCTGTTCTTCTTTTGTCTTTTTTGCGGGTTGGGGGGGGGGGGTGCTACTCGTTTTGATTTTTTCTTACGTTGTTTCTGCTCCGTTGTCCCTCTTGGTACTGTCTTTGCTTTTTTTCTTCTTCTTTCTTTTTTCTGTGCTTTTGTCTCTTTTCTGGTTCTTCTCGGCTCTACTCCTCTTGTTTTGTTTCTTTCTTTTTTTTGTCTGGATCTTGGTTCCCTTTTCGTTTTTTTATTCTGGTTTATTCTTTTGTACTTTCCCTTTCATTGCGTAGTTCTCTTTTGGTCTCTCTTTTTTCTGCTTTATTCTTTCGCTCTTGTCGCTTTCTCTTCTGTTTTCGTAGTCCTTCTCTCCTTTTCGTGCTGTCGTACTGTCTCTTTTTTGTCTTGTTTGTTTCTTGCTTCTTCCTTGCTTTCGTGCGCTGCCTTCGTTCTTTTTTCTTACGTTCTCTTTTTTTGTGTAGGTCCGTCTCGTTTTGATGTTTTCTTGGTCGTGTACTCTTCTTCGGCTCTTTTCGGTCTCGTCTTTTTCTTTTTTTCTGTCTGTCTTGTCTCTGTCTTGCCTTGCTGCTTGTGATTAACTCCTTCATTCTTTGTTTTCTAGTCGTTCTTCTTTCTTCTCTTGTCCGTGTGTGCTTCGCCTTCACGATCTTTCGTCTCATGTTCTTCGTTGGTCTTCTTTTTTTTCATGCTTATAACCTCATATTTCTCCCCTTGTGTTTTCTGCCTTCTTTCTGTTTACTCTTTTCTCTTCCTCGCCTGTGGTTCCTCTCCTTTTGGCTTCTTTGTGTGTCTCTTCTCCTCCCTTGTTTTCTTCGTCACGTCTTCTCTACGTTCTGCGCTCTCTCTTTTTTGTCTCTTGTCTGCTTTCTATTCCCTATGCTTTGTTTCCGCTCTGTCTTCCTGTTTTTCTGTTTTTTTTTCTTGCTGACGTACTTGTCGTGAACTGGAGCGTCTTTCTTTTTGTCCTTCGTCTTTCTTTGCTCTCTCTCTTTTGTTTCCTTTCTCTATCTTTTCTTTCGTGTTCGTTGGGTCGTTCTTCGTTCTGCTTGTTACTGATGCTCTTTCATCGTCCTCTTTTGCTTGGCGTCTCTTCTTCGCCTGCTAGCGCCCTAGTGTTTGCCTCCGTTTCGTCGTTCCTTTTGGTTTTTCTTTTCTCGTCTTTTCTTTTTTTCTCTCCCTGTCGTGCGATCCCGTTCTGTTTTAGCTCTCTGTCTTCTGCTTCTCTCGTTTGTTTCTTTCCGTTTGTCTTCTCTTTTTTTTTGTTCTTTTTTTGCCTTTTTTCGTCTTTTTTCTCTTCTCGGGTGGTCTTTTGTTCTTCTGCGCTTCTTCCATTTTTATCTTCTCTGTTTTTTCGTGGTTTCTGTGTCCCCTTGTCGTACTTTCTTGTCCCCGTGCCACCGTTTGTTTTCTCGTTCTTCCCTTTTTTTTTCTTCTTGCTCTTTGCGTTTTCTGTCTTTTCTCGCGTTTGTGTTGTGTTCTGTTTGTTCTCTTTTGTGTGTTTCCTTGTTTGTCTCTCGCCTTTGTTTTCTCGTCTTCTTCTTTTTTCTGCGGTTCTTGCCTTCGAGTAGTTTGTTTTGTGCTTAACTCTTGTTTGTACTGCTTGGTGGGTCTCTTCTGCTTTCTCCTAGTGTTCTGTGTCGGTTCCTTTTCTTTTGCCTTTCTCGTCGTTCTGTCTCGTGCTCTTCCTTGTCTTCTCTCTTTTGTTCGTTGTTGTTGCTCTGGTTCGTGTGGGTGGCTCGTTTTTTTTTTTTGTTCTTTCTGTCGCTCCGTGTTTTCCTTTGTTGTCTTTACTTTTCTTGGGATTGTGGTGCCTGGTGTGTGTCCGTCTGCTCCCCTCTTGTCCTTTCTGCTTTGCCTTTAAACTTTCTCTTTTTATCTTCCTTGGTTGCTGTTCTTGTTCTCTTTTGTCTTTTCGGTTCTTCGCTCAGTGTGCTCCGATTCGTTATCTCTGCTCTCTGCCTGGACAACGTACCTTCTCTGTTCTTCTTCTTTTTCGTCTTTTCCTTTATACTCTTTTCGTACTATGGTTTTCTCTTACTTTTTTTTCCTTTGTCTCTTATTCGGTTTGTGTTTCTTGCTTTCTTTGGTCGTTAGGCTCCTCTCTTTTTTTTGGGTTATTTGTTTTTTTTGTGTTTTCCTCTCTTTCGTTTCTGTTTGTTTACTTCCTCTTTTCTTCTTTGCCTTTTTGTTGCTTTTTGTCCTTTTTCTGTTCTCTTTTTTCTGGTTCGTTGTGTCGTTATTTCTCCTACTTCTGGGTTTTTTCTTCTGTCTTTCTTCTTTTTGCGGCTTCGTCGGTCTTGTCTCCTTTATCTTTCTGTTTTCTTGTGCTTGGTTTGTCTTGTGTGTTCGTTTCTTTTCGTCGTGCTGCCTTCACTGTTCCTTCCTCGTTCCTCTTCTTTTGCTCTGCTTGGTCTCTGTGTGCGTGCGTTGCTTTTCTTTTTCCTTCTCCTGCTCTTTTTCTCCATCACGTTCTCTCCTCTTGTTTTTGTCGTCGTTATCTCGTGTCTTTCTTTTTGTCTTTACTCCCGTTTTTTTTACTTCTGTTCTCTGCTTGTTCTTCTTTCGTCTGTTTACTTCTCTTCCGGTGTTTTCTGTGTCTTTTGCTAGCTTCGTCCTCTTGTTTGCTGCTTTTTCTTTTTTCGTTTTTTCTTTTGTTTCTCTTTCTCTTTCGTTCGACCTATTTTACTCTGGGGTTCGTGTTTTCTTCGTCGCGTGTGGGAGGCGTTCCTTTCGGGCCCGCTTTCCTGGGATCCTTCCCTTTGTGGTCTGGTGTCTGACTCTTACGACAATGCTTTCTTTCTAGCTCTGTTACTTGTGATCTGCTGCTTCTGAGCTTTCCACTCTTTCTTTGAGTTTTTTTCCTTCTCTTTTCTCGGGGGTGCTGTGGCGGGGGTGGTGGGGGTTTCTGTTCTCTGTTCTCTTTTCTGTCTTTTTTTTGTTTGTTACTGTGCTTGTTTTCTCGCTCTTCTCCTTCGGCTTCTCTTCTGTTGTCTTACTCGTTGGTTTTTTTTGTTGGCTGTTTCCTACTTCACTTACTTCTCCTGTCTCCGTTTCTACTTCGTGTTTGCTGCGCTTCCCGTTATTTACTTGTTTTCTTTGCTCCTATTTTTGACGTTTCTTGTTTTCTTTCGTTTCTACTTCGACTTTTTGTCTTTTTTCTCTCCTGTGTGATGTTCTGCTTTCTTACTTTCATTTCGTCTTTTACTAACCTTCTTTCTTTTGCTTTTTCGTTTTTTTCTTCTCTCTTTTCTCTCTTTATTTTTCTTTCTTTGTTCTCCTCGTTTATCTTGCTTGGTCCTTCGTTTCTTTCTTTTCTAGTTTTTTCTTCGTCGATCCGTGAGTCGTACTGTCCTACTTTTTGTCGTCTGTCTGACTTCTCACTGCTAGGTCTTTACTCTTTTCTCTCTTTCCTGTGCTGTCTGGTGGTTCCTCTACGCGTCTTTTTTGAACTCTGTGTGTGTTTTCTTTTGTCTTTCCTCTTCTCGTCTCTCCTTTTTATTTGCTTTTGCGACTCTTTCGCTCTCCTGTCTTCGTGTTTTGCTCTTCGCGGCGCCTCTCTTTTTCTTGCGTGCTTTCTTGCAGCTCTACTCGTGTTTCTTCGTTCTCTTGTCTCTTCTCTCTACTGTTGTCTTCCTTTCTCTTTCCTCTGGCGGTTCTTCTTTCCCTCGTGTTTCTGGCTGTCTTTACGTTTTCTTTATCTTTTTCTTTTCTTTTCTTCTTTCGTTTTTCTTGGTGGGTCTTCTCTGTGCTTTTTGTTTTCTGTTGGCTGTTCTTCGGGTTTTCCTATTTCGCTTCTCCGGTACTCCTTTCCTGTCTTGCTCGGTCGGGTTTTTGACGTCCTTCTTCGTTAGTCTGTTCTCTTCGTTGTTTTTTCTTTTCTTCCCGTTGGTCTTGTTTCCTCTGTTCGATCTTTTGCGTCCTATCTGTTTTCTCTCGTCTTTTTTTTTTTTTCCCTTTTTTTTTTTTTTTTTCTGTTTTTTTTGCGCTTTTCTGTCTGTGTTGTTTCGCGTGGCTCCTTGTTTTGTTTCTCCTTGTTTCTTTTTCGTTGTGAGTCTGCGTATGTGTTATTGTTTAACTCTACTTGTCTGTCCTTTGCCTTCCGCTTTTTTTCCGTCTTTTCTATTCGCTTGTCGATTTTCTCTTTTTTCTGCCTTCGTTCTTCTTCTTTTTCTTACTCTTGCGTTCTCGTCTTCTCTTTTGCTTTCCCTTGTCTCGTTCTGTGTCTTGGAAACTCCGATGCGCGTCGTTTGTTTCCTTATTCGTTCTGTTGACTCTTTCTTCTCTTTCTCTGTCCTTTTACTTCGCTTGCTGTCCATTGTTTTTGTCTTCACCTCTTTCTCTTTCTTCCATTGCTGCTGTCTCGTTATTGTGACTCTTTCTTTGTTTTCTGCCCTGTTCGCATCCGGTTCTTCTGCTTGGTTCTCTCGCTTTTAGTATTCCTTTTCTTTTCTTTCTGCTGTTTCTTCTTTTCCTTCTTCGTA